CCCACTGCTGGGCAAAGGCCTCCTCTATACAGAGGGCACCAGGGCATAGTCCACCACGCGGCCCCACTGCGGATTGGCGGACTTTACATATCTTCGAATTTTTTTTTGTTATTATTCCGAAAATATGCAGGTTTCCTCACGATGTTTTCCTTCACCGCGGAGCACGTGATAAGTCAGCCCTTAAAGTTAAAAACTTCATTGGTGCCGGCACCGGGGATCGAACTCAGGTTGCTCGAGTATATTGAATTAAAGGCGACCGCCCGGACACTGAGCTATCACGGCTCTGCAACCTACTCACTTAAAAAAAATGTTAAAAGCGGACTATTTAAAGAACCTTCTATAATCTCATAAGTTTCCCGCCGACATTCAACTCGCAAAACTAATCTCTCTAAAATCGATTGGGCATTTAGCAAGGATGCGCGCCAATCTCGTGCGCGGCTCGCCAGAACTCTGAAGCGTTATCTGGGCAAAGGATCATTATCCTGAAATCTAGCGCCTTTACGCCTTGGACACCAGATGTAATAGCCAGACAAACAAGCAACACCGCCTTAAATGGGCAGCCGATCGCAATCGCGCAAACGGCTATAAAATAAAATAACCCTGAAAGCATCGGATTTCGACTCGACTGCAGATTCTACGCGCATTTGTTGAGCTAAGCTTCCGTATACACAATTACTAGCGAGCCGCCCCGGCTTCGCACGGATGCAATGTATTTATTATACATATAAACCTTCCTCTTGAATCACTCTGTCTAGTAAAAAAAACGCATCAAGATCCGTTGCGCAGTTTTAAAGATCTAAGCATACACAGGAACAGCCAGACAGCGGGATGACTTTGTTTTATACTATGTAGTGATGATTCACCTCTTCTCAATTCATATCTTATCCTTTAAACGAGCAATTATTGTATATATATAATCGGAATCTCGGAAACGGCTCCAGCGATTTTCATGAAATTTAGTATGTGCGTAGATTCGGGGGCGAAAAATCGAGCTAGGTTTCATTTTTAGAAAATGTCCTTTTATCCCTGTTTTTAGGGAATGAAAAATATCATTCGAATGGTATGGTTATGAAGGTAAAAAATTTTTATAATAGCTCGGTCGGTAATCGGCCGGCCCCAAAACAGACGGCCGCGGTTCGTACCACACACTTATTTTTTTACTTTTTTTTCTATACCAGATCATTTTCTTTATTTTTTTTTTATTTCCAAAATACATGATTCACAAAAAAAACCGAGCATAGCTCCTCCAGATACTAGTCATTATTCAAGCGAGCTGGTGGTTCACCTGTTAAGTGATAACCGCCGAACACTAACTGCTTAAAAGCATGTCCTTCGAATATGATAATGCCTTATATAGTTCAAGATTTTGCAAAAAAAAATTATTTATTACACAGGCATACAACAATCATTACAGGCCAACCACAGCCACAAAATAACCATTACAATTTAATCAAGTCGTAGCTGTGGTTATTTTTCAATAAAATAGTTATGATTATTTCGCCAGGATTCCAACCTGTCAACCTAAAAGTACAGTCTAGTTGAAAACCTCCTCCTTTTTTGAAGTCGGTTGAATAATAAATAACAGCGGCAAAGACAATCTCTAGTTTTCAAATATTCATTTCTAAAAAGTAATTTTAACGTGAAAACAATTTATTCAGTTTAAAAACTGAAGAATTCCTTTCTTGTTCTTCTGACTGAGTGTATCAACCAAAACCTTAAATCACACTGAAAAATCCATTTTCTGTTAGGTTACACTGAAAAATCCATTTTCTGTTAGGTTACACTGAAAAATCCATTTTCTGTTAGGTTCTGTTAGGTAACATAACAAAGTAATCAAGCTACTTATATAAATATTTTTAAAACCATAGAGACCCCGGTTCAAATAGGCTGTATGTTGGGGTACAAAAAAGCAAATTAAAAAAATATCAAATCAACATGGCGGATGCTAGACGCCGGTAGTAAGATATCAAAGCAACGGGCCCGTAATTAGATCCCCGGTTAGAGCAATTAACGGATACCTCCTAATCTGCGATATCCGAAATCCTGGGAGGCGTCAGACATCCGCTCGACCACCGCAGCAACTTGGGATACTGAATTTAAAGCTGAGTGATCTGTCGTCTTATCGTAACTGATTCCAACCCAAAATTATATGATAACCGTACTACATATATCATCCGTTAATTGTTTCATTTTAACTGTGTTTTAAATATATCCCAACTATGTTCTACCATTTTAGTACTATTGGGGATGCAGTTGGCTCGCAAAATGTAAATTTTTATCTTCCTTGGTTAGCTGAAATCCACCACTGCAGTATAGGGCTAAGCGTTATCATACATTCAAAGATTAACTCATAAAAGTATATTACGGAGATCCATTTATGGGGAAAATTATATCCCAATTTTTTTATGAGAGAAGACGCCAAGAGAGCGGGCGGTTCATATAATGTTTAGTGATGACGGCCCCCATGGACGATCTAAAATACATATGGTTGTAGCAGCACTGACAACCTGTTAGACTGGACCCCAGCTACGCCACTCACCAGGTGAACTGTAAAAGCACAGCCTTTACTTTGAGTCTTTCCGTTTGCTTGTAGCATATTGCAACAGAAGCCGCTACGTGGCTCTGCACTGGCAGAGTAGACCACCAGCTGACTAAACTAGACTAAACCAGAGAAGAACCAGCAAGAAACTCTGCAGTCTTGTTAATGTCTCTTTTTATTTAATGATTTGTATAATTAAATGAAAAGAAGGAACAAGTCTTAATAATACAAATTATTAAATAAAAAGAGATAACAACTTGTATATATAATAATATGAAACAACTTATATATATAATAACAACTTATATAATAAACTTATGTATATACAAATATACACATCTAAGTATACGTCTCTAACATGTGGCATGAACTTTGTGTAGCTCCAACTATAAAACGCATACGGATATACATCAGGATCAGGTCGGTTAACTTGAACAAATCTAAGTTGAAATCCCCGTATCGGAATCAATGAAATTGTTAATTACAATTGTAATTGCTGATTACCAAGTGACGTGCGGTAAAGAAAAGCATTGCAAATCAACTGCGTATATCCGTAATAATGATTAATAAAATCTCTGATCAGTTACTAAGATAGAGACAACTACATATTTAAAATGAGTAAAAATAAGATACGGAAAATATTTTTATTATCATCCCAATGTCATGGCACACGGGACGAAGAAAAAAACGTCCATTTTTATATATAGTTACGACCGATAGCTTAAACAAATTCCGTTAAAGATAAAGCAGACGTTTCTCTGTTGGATACGGTTTTTAAATCGGCATGACACCGAACCACGACATTTACTGTTCCCTAATTGAGTTAACGTTGTCTCGCATTTCTTTATTAATTGCATATTAATTTTTAATCGAGTACATTACCATTAATGAACTCTTTTTTATTAATTGATCGGTTATTAATTGAAACATTTGAATGTGATACGTTTTGTTTTCTTTACTTTGCATTTTAATGCGACGATGTCACTTCGTTATTTTTCAATCGTTCGTTTAAAATGAATGTGATGAGACATTATGATTAGGGGGAGTTTTTACTTGGAAATTTTGTGGAAACTCCACTCAAAAATAGGGTTATGAGTTAAAGTTTTGTATCTATGTGTCTGTCTGTGGCATCTTATCTTGCTTTTTTCCAATTTAAAACTGATATAATCAAAATGTTTCTTAGTTATAACTTATAAGGCGTTTGAAGATCATTTACGGTGGTAGGGCCACGCAACAGCCTCGGCTGTTGCACGAATGGACAGGCTCGTCCAGGTAACCAAGGTACCAAAAAATTTGAAATCGTACCTATAGTTACTTGGATATTTTTACAGTTCTTAGGAGCTATTTTTATGTGGGGTTTATTGAAATGTTTAATTTCATTTCATTGTATGACTCTCATCTTAGCAGTCGAGGTTATCATAAAATATTATATTATTGGCATAGATATAATTTGAACATTCCCTATTTCTCTTTATCAGCCATTAACCTCAAACTCGTGCAATGGACAACCTACAGTATGCTTAATCTAATCATGTCCTGATAATTGTCATGATCTATGCATGGAGCATGGACGTCTTTCCCCGCCCTCCGATGCCCTCACTTTATCCATCACTACAACATGCTGTGACTAATAACGGGCAAAGGCCTCCTCTGTACGGAAGATAGTCCACCATCCAACCCCACTGCAGATTGGGAGACAGATCGTTACTAATTTCATAATGTACAGGTTTCACGATGTTTTCTTTCACTGCTGAGCACGTGATAAGTCAGCACTTCAATTTAATAATTTTGCACATGGGATCGAACTCATTGCTCAAGTAAATTAAAGGCGAGCGCACGGATACTGAACTATCACGGCTTTTTTATGACTTATTATCTTATGAACTTTATCATTATGACTTTGCATAAGTTGCCTCTATGCGATATAAACTGTGGCCTCATTCTTATAAAGTTCTCTCACCCAGGGTGGAAGAAAATGCTCTTTTTGTCCCTAAATGATAAAACTTAAGATATTTACTTAAAAGCACTTCAAACAGAAATGTATCATCTATGCTCAAATATTTCAATGCATCGAAACATTTTAAACTGTAAGCAATAATTTATGGCACTTTATTTACTTTTTAATTATGAAGCGTCACAAAAGTTAGAGAATGAAGATATAAAGATAAAGGCACCAAACGGCGCGTTGTCTGTGACCAATGGCACCGTGTAATCCGTTAGTACGGACCAAAAAGATAATCACCGAGCTCGGAACGAATCGTCGCTAGGAAACAAAATACACAAAGAGCGTAACAATTAAAAAAATTATCACCAATTAGGGCTCGGCGGGTCGTCCGCGCTGACTCCGTGATATCTATTGGTACGCACTCAATAGGGCCCCCGCTTACTATGCGTACGTCTTTATTGCACATCCGCGCATCGGCCCATCGGGGGCACTTATCGAAAACCGTACGGCCTCTTAATTAGTACGTATCCCGTGCGCTCGGCTTGATAGAATCGCCGAGACACCTCTATTCCTTATTCGAAGCGCCGCCCCGTCCCTTTCCCTCGCGGGCGATTCCCGCAAGCCGGTGCGGGACGGGGAGAGGCGTGGCCGCGCCTGCGATACCCATCGTCCGCAGGCGCCGGCACCCGACTCTCCTAATGCGTGTCTTAAATGTTTACTAATGAACACGATTATTTAAAGTGACATTTTCGGATTTCTCCACGGCCGGAGCGCGGGGAATTAAAATACAACAGTTTTATACATTCGTCCGCTAGCGTCGCGGCATTCCACGCTCCGGCGCGGCACGATCGTATCGATATCGATACGCCTGATTTAGTGCTGAACTCTGACATCGATATAATCGATAAATCGACATAACTATCGCGGCGCGCACTGCGTCGACACTATTAAATTGAAACACTTGTCTATCGGTAACCGAACGCCGCCAACGATTGGCTCGGGATTTTTTTTCTAACGATTCATTTAGTCGATAGACACGCTATCGGAACGTTCCCCTTAACGGGCGCGACGCTCGGACCAATAAAACAAATATTAGAATGCCGTTTGTCATTGTCTCGGGAATAATTAGATCGTTAACGCAACGAAACTAGACGCTCCGGACCATTTAAGCGGCGATTCACTCCTTCCCGGTCAACACGCGGGAAATTAATTTAAAACACTTATTAAACGGATAAGGAAAAAAAATGTAATGCTGTCCGGTCGAAAGGCGTATGGAAAGATGTCACCTCTTATCCTTTCTAAATTACAAGTATGGCGTATACAAATGTAAACATTAACACGCGTCAAATTTAATAAATAATCTGTACCTCCCATAAAATATCTGACGATTGTGAAGTATTATGTAACAATTTAGCCTCTAATGTTTTACAGTGATCCCTAAGTGCGTACGATTTTTTGTAGGTGTATCGTAATTGAGGTCTTGAAAAATAGCAGGAGAATCTCGTAAAACGGCGTCACCTGCATAGGCGAAATATAAAAGCACTTCCTTAAACCAATGTTTAAATTTTCAGCGGACTTAACAAAGAAGGTTCTCAATTCAGTTGTATCTTTTTTATGTTTGTTACCACAAAACTATCCGGTTTGACAAAATGTACAATATTACATTTGGTTCGGTTTAGCTCCAATGTGGTGCCATGTTAAATTCATTGCTTCAGATCATTGAACACCGGATTAATCAGGGAACTTCTCATAGTCAAATGTATTTATTTTTAGTTCATAAAAATGTTTTTTTTAATGTTTTTATATGAGAAGGTGGCAAGCGAGCTGGCGGTTCACCTGATGTTAAGTCATGACCACCGCCTAAGGGTATTTGCAACACCCGTAGGGGTGATGATGCGTTGCCGTCTTTTAATTTTCACTTCCACTTCACGACGGTCTGTGAGGTCGTGGTACCTACCCGGACGGACCTGCCCATTCGTGCAATAGCCGAAGTTGTTGCGTGGCCCTGCTAAAGTAATACGACGTACCTGGTCCCTTTCATGCCAGCGGCCTTTCAGATACATTTCCGTGGATCTTTGATCGATCTCTCCAGAAAAATTACGGCGACACCACCATCAATTATTTATGTACCGTTACACGGCGCATATAAACACTTCGAATGACAATAATTCAGACTAACACGGCATAATTTGCGGCTCGACCGCTCTCGGCTCGTAAGGGGACATCCATTGACTTCGACTCTCCATTGATTTAATATATCATAGCGCTATCTCATTAGCCAAGCAGCATGCCAATAGTGGCACCATGAATGGAGCGCGAAAAATCGGGACTGGATGCGTTGAACGCCGAAGGGGTTAGTCTGATATTTTTAACGGCGTAGTTAATGGCCAATGCGACGAAGTATTCTCGATCGGAGATTACGGACATGTGCAACCACGCCATAAATAACCATCTGCTGTTTGTCCAATTTGCCGTCGTGGCCATAAAACGAAGTCACAATACGTCTATGACAGTAGGAGACATAGATGATACATTTGTATATACTGGAAGGAGAGGTTGCCAAAGTATTCTTTAATAATACCTGCATGCGTATGACCTTTTTGTCTTTTATTTGCATGGAGAAGTATGCAGCATCCACCTACCGTTTACACATGTACGTAACACAGACTTAAGAACTTATTAATTATTCTTTTTCGGTAATAATACCTACGGTCTATAAACATATTGTTGCATATTCGCATATTTATGGTTTACCATTCACGTCTTCAGTTTAAAACATAAAAATGGCTCCCAATAGCTGTTTTAATTCATCAGTGTCTTAACTATTTTATTGTAGGGTATCCATCGACTCGCGAACAAAATGCGACCAGCCTAGCTCGCCCAGGCGACACCACCGCCCGAAGCCACTAAATAACGCCGACTCCGCACCGATGGCTCCGAAATGCTCACATAAAATTGTAAATAAAGCTAATGGCATGCAAACGAATGGACGCGTAGGCGGCACGTCTAATTGGCCAATAAAGCGAGCGGGGCCGGGCCGGGGCATAGTCGAAACCGCGGGCACGGGCGTGCCGTGTCACGTTACAAATTGGGCCCTATTAAGAGCCATATCCACGGTGAGGCATTCGCCTCTCCATGGGCGAGTGTGATAGCGATTTATGTCAGAACTAGCTGATAGCCGCGGCTTCGCCCGCGCGCTCAAAAGGAATTAACAATGAGGTTTTTATCATACACCAGAATATCACTTATCATTAATTTAAATATATTACCTATATTTTGGACAATTCACACAATATCTTCAAAAATTATATCCTATGTGTTATTCTGATGTATAAACTATGTTATTGTAAAGTTTCATTAAAATCTATTCAGTACTTTTTGCGTGAAAGTGTAACAAACATCCATCCATACATACAAACTTCCGCCTTCATAATATTAGTAAGGATGGATCACATTAGTTATGCAGCTCTGTGGATAGTGTACAATGGAATGTTGGATACTGGAAGATTGGTGATTGTATCTTCTTAAATTTTTTTTGGTGAGAAGACGGCAATGGCGCTGTCGACTCATCTGATGTTAAATGAAACCTGCCGCAATGGATATTTGCCACAGCCGTGTTCTCCTCACTTCACGCCGGTCTTCTGCGAGGTCGTGGTACTTCACCTGACGGACCTGCCTATTCGTGCGACAGCGAAGACTGTTTCCGCAGGTGGCCCTACCACAGATAGCAAAGGTAGCGAAACAACTAGCACTTCACGAGGTTGCCAGACTATAAGAGAGCGATATCAGCTTATGATGCTTCTAAGGTTCTAAGTATAATATGTACGTGGAGAGTAACGTGTATTTATATTTTTTTATGGTCACCATAGACATCAACATCACCTAGATGTAGACACATTGTCAAAGATTGGGTCAGGTTACCTCACCCACAAAAAGTAAAATACTTCCACTTTATGCCGGTCCTCTGTGCCATCCGTAACTTCCGTGTCTGCCCATTCGTGCAGCATCAAAAGATGCTGCATGGTTCTGCAACTCTTAAATCTATTACATAGTCGACTTCAGATGTCATCATCATCATTTCAGCCCGTCCGTTTAAGTCCACTGCTGAACATAGGCCTCCCCCACAGACTGCCACATTTCAGATGTAACTTCAGGAAAATTTAATCGTATTTGAATAAAGTTGAAAAACCGGCGAAGTGCGAGTCTGACACGCGCAAAAGAGTTCCATATCCACTTAAATATTTTTTATCCTGTTTTTTAGTAATTATTGTTATATATTATTAGATATATTATTAACAAGTGTGAAATTTTCAACTGTCTAACTAACACGGTTCATGAGATACAGCCTGGTGATAGACGGACAGACAGACAGACAGCGGAGTCTTAGTATTAGGGTCCCGTTTTACCATTTGGGTACGGAACCCTAAAAAGATATATATATATATATATATATATACATAAGTCCTCTTAATTAGGGTCTAGTTAAGCAAGCGATTATGATAGATTGAATACAAGCGGTAACTAAGAAAAGCTATAAATAATCAAATTTATAATCATCCTTGTCTCTGATAAATGACATTATGCATACTTGAAACCATATCCGAGACATCACAGGCAGTGAAGGAAAGTGTACATTTAATTTTTTACTCTCTATTAGCAGATATGAATTACTGATATTTAGTTTTTAGTAAAGAATTACATACAACAGATTTCTAAACTATATTAAATAGCCTCTGAATGGCCTCTTAGGGCCGTACATATTTTTTTTCATACACCGAGATTGTGAAAGTAAAGAAGACGTCAAGTAAAAACACCGCCTGCTCGCGGTGTTTTTACTTGACGTTTGCCAACTTTTTAAATAAACAAAAAGTAAAACATAATGAAATTGTATCGTTATCGCCATAGGGTTTATCTTATATATATATATCACACAGAAGTAGCCATACTTCCCTTATATCCAGTATGAGACAATACTACAGCCAAGGTAATCATTACTCAGATTGGGCTTTCAACATAGGACACACAGGTCCTCTGTCATTGCATAACTATTGAACCCGGTGGCCGCATTGCCTTAATTATTAATTAGCAAACGCTCGTAACTCAATGAAACAACAAAGTCGACGACGTTTTATTCAAATCGATCCGTTTAATTTAATTAAGTCGCGTCCACAGCGAAGGACGGATAGAAAATTATTAATTTAATTAAAATCGCGCAATATCTTTGGAATTCGATTTGAATTCATTAATTGGACATTATAGATTAATAGATAAATAGCTTTGTTTTTGTTTTAGCTCCACACATGCTTTCATAGATCCAACGTTCCATTGTAGTGATAACGTAGCAACTCTACGTTACAATTTAAAATTCCATAATTAATCAGTCAACTGGAGAATTTAGTATTGTTACTTGTAAACGAATTATAATTACTAATTACCGCCTGTTTTTCATATTTAAATTCCGTTGAGACACTAAATATTTATAAAGCTATTACAAAGACTTCATAAGACGTATTGTAAGTATCATTGTAACGTCATTTAATATAAGACCTTCCCAATCTTAATACTTGATAGGAATACTTAATTTTTACTATATAAAAGGAATTAAAATCAACATATGGCAATTAAAACAATCGTTGTCTTTACTAATTAATTACTAATTAATAAAGTAGTCTGAGTCTAGATCATTTTTTAAAAAATATTCCAAATAATTTTAACACACATAGCTATTACTTTGATAAATAACATTATTACTTTGATACAACATTGTCTACGGCTGAATATTATTCGTAGTGGAGGCGACTCACAAACACAAATTTTGCACGGACGAACATCTAGACTCAATCTATTACTCTATCTATTAGCCATCATATACCCGTAGCAACCGGGAATCAAACTAGCGACTCGTCACTAAGCCGGGACAATGCAGCCCATAAAGCGAGCCTAGGAGGCGACACTAGTCTCGCCATAAATAACGTCACTATAATAGTATCAGTAAATAATAAGTCATTAACGTAACGTCCGCCTGGACACGCGACGGCCACTCTAATATACATATTAAATACAACGAAATATATATTCAAACCATAAACCAATGGGAGGTCTACTAATTATTGATGATATGCATACATAAGATTTTTAACGGGGCATATTTTATAGGCAACAGTAAATTAACTAAACCCATAGTGCCCGAACAATACCCTCTTAGAATGTATCACGGTTCAAAACCTGTTTCTAATAACGAATTTTTCGTGTCCCTCTCTCCATTTCACGGATTACACTGCGTTGCGTGTATCTAAGTGTTTCTTTAGTGAATTTCGCGAGGAATAAACAAAATTATTGTAATGCGAGTCACTGGATTAAGATAAAAATGTGTGTCGTTTGAAACGATATTTGAAATTGTTTGTATGCAAAAGATGAAGATGTATGTAAGAGATGTAATAATAAACGCGCCAAGTGCGCCAAAAACAACATATATAAAAGACACCGATAAGCAAAATACCAAAAAACAACGTATATAAAAGACATCGAAAAGCAAAATGCGAAAAAACAACGTATATAAAAGACACCGACAAGCAAAATGTGAAAAAACAACGTACATAAAAAACACCGAAATTGAGGCATTAAAATTACACCAATTGGTGTAATTCTGTAGACTGCTATCTCTTTTCATATCATGCGTTCTATATATCATCTGTCACACATTTTTTTTCATCAATTTTCATCTTTATTATTACACATCATTTGTGTTAAGTGTACCCAGGTTTTGGATCTAGAATTTAACAAACGATTGTTATATTTTTAGACATTAATTTTTTTTGCACACTTTGATAGCGCCGATCATTGCTAAAAATGCAATAACTAACGTAGATAGATGTAGAGATTTTCGCGGTGTGACGTCATCGGCCACTTAGGTTAGTTTGTAAAGCGTATGAGAACTTTACCCTGATAGACGTAGCCTCGAATCCCACAGAACCGAAAGCTTTTGTTCATTTAAATAAGTAAAAATTAACAGCCTGTCCCACTGCTGGGCAAATGCCTCCTCTGTACAGAGAGCATCAGGGCATATTCCACCACGCGGCGCCACTGCGGATTGGCAGATTTAACGTATCTTCGAAATATTTTATTTTTTAATTATTTAGAAAATATGCAGGTTTCCCCACGATGTTTTCCTTCAACGCAGAGCACGTGATAAGTCAGCACTGGAACAATTTCATTGGTGCCGACACCGGGGATTGAACTCAGGTTGCTCGATTATATTGAATTAAAGGCAAGCGCCCGGACACTGAGCTATCACGGCTGCATTTATCTACAAAAATTCTCAATTTTCAAATAAAATAAATAAATATTTTAGGATACATTTTTACACAACCTTCTCTAGTCCCAATCTAACCAACGTTTGTACTATGGGTATTGTACGATCATGGAATAAGCATAAAAAGCTATCTAAATTGAACTCATTTAGCGGTCTTCACTATTTTATACCTAAAATACACAGGGACTCAAACCGGTGACCTCCTATTGCGGAACGATAACGTATCTAACTACAACCCACAAACGCATTTCCGAATGCTAGAGTACACTCCGAATAAAATCCCTTCGATCGCGGTGAATCGACCAGTTCAAGTGACCATAAATATTCCGTAAAGCGATTTGACGCACTCTAAACGGTACGGAGGGCTTCTGGTGCATTCAAACTGTCCAATGGTGCAGCACTTTTCCTTTATCACGAGAATCATAGCCTATTACGTCCGATACCGGACCATTCGGGAGCATGCACCCGCGGTACTACCACAAATCGGTCCATTACTAAATCGCTACCATTTAAATAACTCGAAACGAAATTCGAACGCGCTTCTGGAATTATTTGATGGTCGCTCCGTTTCTACTGGCAATGGCAATATATTTATTATACGAAAAAGTGGCAAAGTAGCAAAGTGTTTAAGCGTCCACTGGCATACACATCCACAACTCAGTAGTGTTTTAGGTATGGTACCTAGGCCTTAAGAGACCCCGGTGCACTGTTCATTAGAAACAACCAAAAAGTATATACTTTTCACATTAAAAAAATCTCTTATTCGCTCACTCGCTCACTGAGCAGATACAATATTCATACACAGATCACACACTCGCACGTCTTAACCTTAACACCAAAACAGCAGCTACCGACCGCGTTTCACCACGCTTGTCGAGTCTAAAAGGTGACAGGTGTCGAGATTGTCACCATACAACAGTGAGGTGGTGATTTTAACACGTAATAAATCCGAAAAATGTTCTCGACTCTGCTATTTGAAGTCACAACCTAAGGCCTCGTTATCCAACGGCCACTATGCTGAAACACTCGATACTTTATTGTTGTGTCAGCCAGTGACGTATATTAGACAATCGTCGGATCCAACACGAGCCGCGACTTATAAAAAGCTACGCCTGACCCGTCAAAATCGTGGGAATGGCATTTCTGTGCACGTGTAAAGTTATTTATCGCATAAACCTGACCTCCGCGGACCTCCGTTCGCCCACGCGCCCCTCGACGAAATCAATTTTTACACCGATCGTCATAACACGATAGATCCCGTACGCCGTTTTACTTCGACACTGACGGTCGGCCACGACATTCTCGCCTGTTATAAGTTCCGTTGGAAAGTCCTTAGCATTTTTAAATCGGCTCACTATGAAAGATAAAAGACTGTGTAACTAAACTAAATACTCGTTTCAGACGTTTCATTACTTGGTGGCGCAGTTGCCAAGTTATTGGCTTCGGCGTCGGGGGTCGTGGGTTCGATTCCCGCACGGGACAACTATTTGTGTGACCCACAGATAGTTGTTTCGCATCTGGGTGTCTGGCCACGTGAAATTTATGTTTGTAAAACGTCCTTACAACACGGGATGATGTTAGTTAGGATAATGATTTTTTTTAAAAGAAAAAGAATGTATTTCATAATAATAAATATTTTAGGACACGTTCTTTTTACACAACATTCTCTAGTCCCAAACTAAGCAATACTTATACTATGGGTACTAGAAA